TTAAAAAAGTTTAATTTTAGCAAAAAACATTGTTCACTTCATTCAACTATATAACTCTTGTGTGTGTGCATGTGCGTGTGTGTGCGTGTACGTGTGTGTGTGTGAGAGAGAAATTCATTTACTCAAAGAGTAAGTTTACTTAGATTTATTTCACTCAATAATTAACTCTTTTTTAATGTGTGTGTGTGTGAGAGAGAGAGAGAAATTCATTTACTCAAAAAGTAAGTTTACTTATATTTATTTCACTCAATAACTCTTTTTTATATCAAATTTTAATGATTTAACTATTAAATTAAAAGTTCTTAATGTATAGATAAAGTTTATAAATTTAAAAAAAAAATATTTGATATTCTATTTCAATAATTCAAATTGACTGATAATCATAAAAATATTTTATACATTGATTTGAATTAATAAAATAAAATATCAAATAATTTTTAAACTTTTTGAAAATTTGTAGACTTGATTTATACATTAATAATTTTTAATTCAATGGTTAGATTATTAAAATTGCATATAAAACATAAATTATTGAATAGAGTAACATGTTCTAAACTTATTTCACTTAATAATTAATATTTTACATTATATTTTAACAATCCAATCATTATATTAAAAATTCTTCATACATAAATCAAATCTATAGAATTTTTAAACTCTATTGTGCATGCAATCTTCAGTTTCAGTCCAATATATAAGTCTACCTGCATGAAAATGACAATAAGATCGCGACAGTAATTAAATAGTAATAATACCATTTAGTCTGTGTGTTAGGGAAACTAACATTACAAGGCTTTTGTATGGGTACCTAATTTTGAAAATTTTCTCTTTGGGTTAGTAGGGTTTTACTTACCATTAATGACTTTGAATGGCTACCGAACTTAACAAATCGAAGGAGTAAACGAGAAAAATAAAAAATAAATAAAAAAATAAATAAATAAATTGAAAAAGTAGATGAAAGAAAATGAAATAATGTAGAAAATGAATAAAAATAATTTGCAAATGAATGACGTATGGCCTATGTGTGGATGAACTCAACATGTTTGATGTGTTGTGAGTTTGGTAGCTGTGAACACAAATCCCCAAAGGTCTATTTCCTACACGAGTGCTTGGATTTTTCCAAAAGAGAAAAAGAGTTTAAGTTTGACAAGATCTTAATGGAGCAAACCAAAACCATCTTTTCTCATTGATAATGAAATTAAGTAGTCTATTATACCATCGAGATTTCCATAATTTTCTTTTGAATTTTAGAAATGAAAAAAGAAATGAGGAAAGGAAATTAATTAGATTTAACTTCACTATAATAAATAAATAAATAAAAACTATTTTTAAAATTAAAGTTAAAGAAACTATAAAATAAATTTAAAAAAGTATTTTAATTTATATATACTATTAATATGAACTATTTTTATAGATCACTGATTTTCTCTATTAGAGACAATTTTGTTCATTATTAATGACAAAATTCTCCCATAAAATATTTAATATAATTACATATTTGAGTCAATTGATTAAGATGGAACAATATGATACTAATTGTGATTAGTAGTAATATAAACATCTTTTACACAAGCATTTAATCAAAACTCCCCACGTTGTTCTTTGTATATTAATTAATAAGACGGTGAGTTAAAATAATCAATTTAGTGAATATTTATGTAAAATAGTTTTATATGATATAAATTAAATTTTAAAAGAAATAAGGGTTAATATCTAATCACATAATTTATCATAATTAAATTTAATTGTATTTTTTTTACATATTATTAGTTAAACTTAAAACAACTTGTTAAATTCGGATAACACTTCCAAATATGTAACACATTACATACTTATACTCAACTTAATACCTTTAAGATAGATCAATTTTGTGTTAGCTGATTCACAGATTTGATGGTAGTCTTAATTTCATTAGTTATTTTTTTAATTTACTTATAATTAAATTCTTGTTTTTTTTTTAACAAAAAGTTTAAATTTTGGTATCACACGATTATGTGGGATTGCAAATTGTCTATTTTATCTCTAATGCAAGATCACATGGAAAAATATAAAATACAAAGAAAATTGGATTGGACTTTGCATCTTAATTAGTAGAAAAAAAGATTTAACCAATTATGTCACTCTTGTGAAAAATTTAGTTTTATTCTCTAACATAAATTTTAATGATAATTTTTTAAATTGGTTATATTTAAAATGTCACAATAAACACTAATTAATTTGACAATTCTTGTGAAAAGTTGCAAACCTATGCTTTTTTTTTTGTCCATGTACATAATGTATGCAATAATTTTCAAAGTTAACAATTAGGGATTAACTTATGTTAATAGATAAAGATATCAACTAGGTCGGATGGAAATGGATACTAACTCTCTCCTACTCATTCGGTTGAATAAATATCAACCTTGTATATCCATCTCATACCCATGTGGGTATCCAAATAGATATCTGCAAATTTTTTATTATCCATAGATATCCATGAATATTTTTTAAAAAAATTACAAATAATTTATAAAGAAAAAAAAGTAAAAAAATTATCTTCTAATAATTTCTATAATAATAATAATAATAATAATAATAATAATGGTTTAAAAGTCAAAATTAAATTATTCAACTATTATACACAATTTTATTAATCAAGGTTCTTCAATTTAAAATTTTAATTTAATTTTTAAAATACTTCAAACCTATAAGTTAAAAAAATAATATAAAAAAAATAAAAAGAATTAATAACTAAAATAATCTAATTCCATAAGTCCAAAATAAAAGCTTAAAAAGTTATAATATTAATTTCAATCAGATTTTCACTTAACGTATGTTATATATTTAAAGAAAGAAATTTAAATAATTTTATTATAATAGATATCATGTAACATCTATTTTGTTATCTATCATAATTCTCGTCTATTAAGTATTAATGGATTCAAATATATCCATTTAAATTATTTATTGATACCTATTTAAGTATCTATTTTTTATTTATTATGGATTTTATATGCAAATATACATGGATGTGAATATTTTGCCTTCCTTACATGCAAGATGTAAGTTTTACTAACTAGCTAAAAATTATTTCAACACAAATTATAATCGATCTACCAGATGAGTCCGTGTCAACGTGGTCTTACAAACACTTACACAAACTTCTATACCTTTATCTCTATGTTTTCGTGAATAAAATAGATGCATGCAGAGAATATCCTTTCACATCCATTACTTGCACACAATCGAAATTCTTTCAACGAATTATTACTTAGGAGAACTTTGTGAGCAAAGATGTGTGTACATTTACAAATATTCAACTTTAATTAAATGATGAGTGATGACATTGTTAAGTTTTGAAGTGAACAGTACAAATCTATATTATGAAGCAAGATGACATAATTGACAACAATTGAGTATCTAAATGAGTCCGAGGTATTATCAAAATTAAAGCCATGTTCTGTGACTGTGAGTGAGGTATGGTTTACGTTACCCACAAAACAAAGTGTATGAAAATTAGGACATGCAAGTTGCTTCAATTACTGTAATAAGTTAACATGCGTGCTGCATGCAACGCCTAACTTAATTGCGCCAGAACATGGCAAGAGTAAGGTCAATTCCAAGCATTGAAACCTTAATACATCACTCCACCAAACAAAAATAATAAAGACATATATATATATATATATATATATATATATATATATGCATGAACACGCCCAAATTTCCTTCCTTTCAATAATTACCAACAAGAATTAGAAATTATAACGTATAATAGGATTGGTTATTAAATAGACATACTTAGTTAGAAAGTTATTTGATATCATTATTAAAGAATTCAGGCTTTTCAGGGTTAGTCTGCTTAATTCTGTGTAAATATGTTAAGATCAAATTAGCATAGATCAAAATATAAAATATACTATTCTTGTTTTCTTTTAATATTTAGAAATATTTTACTTGTTAAATAGGTGAACCCCGTGGGTTAGTGCTTGATGACTTCACTTGTTAAAATAAGTCGATCTCGCGCTTAAAGTCAACACTTGAGTAGCCGAGCTGACTTACCTATTACAACAAACGTTGAAAGATTCCCGCAAGACTCGTTTATTATTTATGAACAATTCAACAAATATATAATATGATACAATAAAATAGGCTTTTTTGAATCAACCCCAGGACCCTCTAGATTTATCGACACCCTTTTGCATATTGAAGGAATTAAAATATCATATACGATATTAATTTATTGACTTGAAAAAATGTCACCGAGAAAGTTTACTTTTACATATATTTTAACCATTAATTAAGATTTAAGAATATTATTTACGAGGACACAATTAAGGTGAGAACACGAAATAAAATAAGGTCACAATAGAATTTCCTATAACTATAAACAAATATAAGAGCGCGTGGGTTAGCTTTGAACCCTTATCTCTTTGAATTTCTTGTGTAACATATCCAAAAGCTAGTGGCAATGTATGCCTTTTGCAGGCATTATAGTTCTAGTTAAAGAATCAAGAGCGAATTGAATGCAAGACAATATATAAGATGTGGAGAGGAATTTGGGAAACGCATGAGTTTTGCTTAGATAAAAGTAAGACAAAATATATGGACTATAGCGTACCATAAGTTACCAAGTTTAAATATCTAGGGTCCATCATACAAGACAAGAAATATAGGTTGTTGCAAACCATAAGATTCGAGCAATATGGATAATGGAAGAATACCGAGTATTATTGATGGTAAAAAAAAGAAGGTATTGTTTTAACATGAGAAAGATTTTGTTACACAACTATAAGAAAAAAAAAATATTTTATATGTTAGAAAATATGTATTTATTATAAATTTTTATTACCATATAATTTATATCTTCAAAAAATGTTTGTTTATTATAATTTTGATTGAAGGTAGAGAGTAATCTATATTTGAAGACACCCACAAACAAAGCAACAGCAAATAGACTTCTGACACTGATAGGACAATTTGAAGGTTAAACATCATAGCTCCCTTGAAAAGCATGCGAGGAAAGCAAATTATGTTCCTAAACTGTTTGGTTAAAAATCATTTGGTTCAGATATTCATTATAAAGGCCAACTTAGGGTTTAAAATAGCATACAACTTAAAGATACTTGGTTACTGACCACCAAAGTAGCCTCAAAATTACAAAAACCAACCACTTAAATGAACAATGAAGTCTTGTCTTCAGAGACGGACAGGTATAGAGCTTCCTTTCATGTCTTTAGGTTCTGATATGCAGCATCTAAATTAACAAGTACCACCCCTCAATGCAAGCACCAAGTGAAGTACAGAACCACCCTCAATGTTGTACTCTTTAGCTGTTTTGTCATCAGCAAGCTGCTTACCGGCATATATGAGTCTGCAACAAGATGCAACTGTGGTAAGATTCTAATGTTTTCAATAGTATAAAAGAATACTTTATTGATTTTTTATAGTAATTAGCATACCTAAAAGGAATATCATCTGCAACGGAACAAAAATTGAAAAGAATGAGAATAAAATTTCACTGATACTCTTGAATACCAAGCAAATCAAATACAACTACAGTACAACATTAGCAATTAGGCATTCTTCAGAAGATTCTCCATTATTGATGAAAATGCAATAAAATTTCATGGGACTTGTATGAATAATGAATATAGCAATGACAAGCAGCAAATAATGCACTATTACCAATAATATTCTAATTTGATGGGACTTGTATAAATAATGAATATAGCAAAAAGACAAGAAGCAAATAATGCACAACTACCAATAATATTCTAATTTGATGGGACTTGTATAAATAATAAATATATCAATGACAAGAAGCAAATAAAGCATTACCAACAATATTCCAATTTAACTAGGGCACTAGTTAATGCATGAATGTGGATAAGCAATTAAGCATTGCAAACCATTTTAGATTATATGCTAACCAAGGTTTAGGTTGCGTTTGTAGCCCCACTACTTTTGGACTTCTCTTTTCTTTAAAAGGAAAAGCAAGGCCAAATACAATCTTAAAAAAGTTATTGACAGGAACCTTAAAAACCACACCACAGAAGTTGGCATTGTAGTTGAAGAGCCCAAGACCTTATTAAGCCCTACACTAGAATCCCATAATTCCAATGAGACTTGAGTTCCATAACTTATAATTGGATCCTAACATCTCACCATACTCCACAGCCTTATGCCCACACGGGCTGTCCGTACACTAACCGTTTGACTAATCTCAGGCAAACACTACAATGTCAAGGTCACCAGCCATGCTGCTCATTTGCAGTAGAAAGACATGATGAAAAGTTTTAATACAAATTAATAAGAACCATACCACAAAAGCTAGCCATTATAGTTTGCAAGCCCAAACCCTTATAAACTCCCCATCAAAATCTCATATTTCGAATGTGGGACAAAAGTCCTCGCACCTTAAAATTGAATCCTAATAGTTCTTAAAAATAAAATTATTTTTGAAGGTACAAAAAGGCCCAAAAAAAAAGATCTCTACAGAAGGTGATTATTGTCCAGAAATCATATTATAAGAGTACAGACAGATAAAACCAAATGATATGTGAATTTTATTTTTAAAAAAAACAAGCCCATATATTTTTTCCATTGACAAGATTGCATATAAATCTAGTTCACCAGACCAGACCATATGATCATCAATTAAAGCCCTGCAAGAGGAAGCTTTAAAAGTACGCCAAGAAACTGAACCAGTGATATCTACATGCCGGTATCTTCTCTATGTTTATGAGGAAAAAATAATAGAAGATAAATATTTAAATATATGATCAGAAACACAAGCTTTTTGCAGTTAACAAATGACATGCACATTCCCATCTAATAGTTAAATCATGTGTGGTTGAATTAGCAAAGGCTGCTAAACCCAATTAGTACAAGAAGAGAGAAAACCTTTGCTGCACCGGTGGAATTCCTTCTTTTTCTTCTACCCTTTCTTTGATCCGGTCAATTGTATCAGTTGGCTCAATGTCAATTTCAATTTCTTTTCCAGTTAGAGTCTTCACTTTAATCATTGTTCCTCCCCTGAGCCTCAACACCAAATGAAGTGTTGATTCCTTTTGTATGTTATAATCAGCAAGAGTGCGACCATCTTCCAGCTGCTTACCAGCGAAAATCAACCTCTGCTGGTCAGGAGGGATACCTTCCTTGTCCTACAAACACATATTCCACCCATAGTTAGAAATGAATGATGCAACTCAAATGGCAAGCAATGCTATCATTCATACACCAAGCTCCAGCTCAGCAGGCCTTGTCATATAAAACAGATAAAGGCTGGTCAGGAGGGATACCTTCCTTGTCCTACAAACACATATTCCACCCATAGTTAGAAATGTGAATGATGCAACTTAAATGGCAAGCAACGCTATCATTCATACACCAAGCTCCAGTTCAGCTGGCCTTGTCATATAAAACAGACAAT